ATGATTGCTTGAGCTTGACATCACCACAGTTCGTATAATAAAGCCCCTAACAGGTTTATAACGGACCACCTTGCTCGCTTTGAAGCCGGTTATTTTAGTTTGTAGCTTCAGTCAGTCTAGATCTCATTGGCCCTGTTCTTGTTTTGAATGGTAGGGTGTATACAAGTTAATTACTTGCTGGTTGTTTTTGACGACGCCCGTTACCCTTCCCCGTCTGTTATCCGTACGCATCTGTTGTAATGAAAATCCTTTAACTTCTAGATGCTATCGCTACTGACTGCGTATAATAGCACTTGCGTTGACCAAAGAAATTCATGACAACGAGCTGACATTGTAACTGGCAGGACAGCGTAGTACTAACGCTGAAACAGACATTTCACATTGGAATTGGTTCCGAGAATGCATTGCCCGAAGCTTCAAATGACAATGTGTGCGTGGCTAAAGCAAGGCATTCTTTGAAGCAAGTAGATAAATATTTAAACATTAAATGCGCCTGGTGGGTCCTATTTAGCCTGAGTGAGACAGCTGGCGGAAAGCTATCTAAAATGGACATTTACATGGTCTGTCAGCCACACCGTTTTATTTCAGTTATATTTTTCACCCATGGTCCACACACCCTTCATGCACAAAATCCCACAAGACTGCACCAACTGTGAATATCATCGTTTTTAACCGCCCGGCGGAAGGCGCCCTCCTTATCCAGCAGTTACATTTCTGGGCGTGCTATGCGCGGCACGCCCCCATAAATCGCCCGCGACGCGTCCCAAAGCTGGGCAAGTGCACAATTACGCGCCCGTAACTTGCATCTGCGGCAGCGAGCTGTGACTGACGGTCCAAAGTGGTCGGTCGCCCCCCCCCCCTCACTGGCAGCCAATCTTACGTACGACTCCCGCCCGAAAAGGTAATTGCAGATGTAAGGCCGTTCACGTAGACGTTTTGTGGCGAGGGTAGTGGACTTTCCGAGGTGTGATTCGATGGCTTACTCGTCATCAAACGCAGAATGCGTGAATTTAGGAGGGGCAGCTGGTCTGGGGTCGGGGCAGCCAGTAATTTGATGCGAGTAAATTCAGATTTTAGGAGTTGGGACATATGTAGTTTGTGTTGGAAACTGCTGATGTGCGTTGATGCATTTCTGATGTTTTACCCCAAGGCATATGTATAATCAGCGTCAAATAAATACAAACACCACGGAGTAATGCTGCCTGCCTGATAGTTCAAGGTACCTAGTGTTGCTAGAGATATTTCACTATATACTAAATGTCAAAATGGTTTTGCTTTGACGCCCTACTGGCGGAGTGGCCGAACCGTCTGCCGTTCATGTCGGAGCTCACCACAATCTGCTGAAACTGATACACTAGAACAATTCCATAGACTTTACACCACCGGCTCTCAGAAGAAAAATCACATCAACAGTACAGTAGGTTCTCGGACTCCCTCGGTCAGAATTCCGTATTCTGGGAGACATTTCCGTCAGGTGTCTATCCAGGTTTTCAGTTAGAGATGGACTGTTCGTAGCAATGTAGAAGGTTGGAAGGCATTTGTGCCTTCGGTTTCGGTGCCCTGATAGCCCCAAAGAAAGCCTCGACTAGTGAGCGACGCGTCGAGAATGTCGTGCCGGAATGTGAATGGTATCAGTGGCGGCGGAAGGTAATTTGGGATGGGGGGGCACCGCTGGCGGATCCAGGGCTTGGGTGCGGGAGGGGGCTACGGAGACAAACCTAGGGTACCCCCAAATCCTGTTTTCTCATCGGATTTAGGCCACTTACTTTTCGTTACAGCCCTGATACGATATTTTTTTAAATATATTTTTTTTTAAAATAAATGGTAGGCTACCTGACACCACTGGCGGATCCAGGGGGGGGGGGGCATTTGGGGCAACTACCCCCGCGTCGCCCGAAATCCAGGATATTTTGCGGCTTTTCGAGAATATAGCGAAAGCTAAACTTTTATTCGCCAGAGACCAGACAAACGTGTATCACATACACCCATGCACTGCATCACATACACTAAAGTGACGCGGAGCAGCCATCAACTACCATGCCCAGAACACTGGCACTCTTTTCTGGGGATGGTTGCGCACGAACTTTGATAGGATGAGTCACCCTAGCTCCTAACGGGCAACTGCACCCAAGATTCCTTTACTACTCACTGCACCTGCGGCGCAAACCTGCTGCTGCCATATCATACAGCCTTGATGTGTGGTCATAGCATATTATGGAATTGTAGAGCAATACAGGCATGACCTTACAATACCTACATTCCGATGCCCTAAATCACAATATTTCACAATGCACAGCCCACTGACCACTCCATCCCACTAGGCATATATTGGGCATATAGGCAGGCATCGGTAGGATTGTGATTGCAGGATTGCAAAATCCTGATTGCATTCCTTTTTGGTGGATTGCACCTGGATTTGAAATCCATTCCAAAAAACAGGATTTGATTGCGGATTGGATTGCATCATACTTCCAATTTTTGCAATCCAATCCGGATTGTGTTTGATTAGTGCTTTGAAATGGTTTGTTGCGATTGAAAATTATGAGATCGGCTTCATCGGCCTAATGTACTTTGCTATCAAGGGCTTTATATCGAAACTTGAAATAATTTAAACGCTTTTAATTTAAACGCTCAAAATAATATACGCTGATGAACTACATAGGAAGGGCAAAATTACGTATTTGAGGGCGAGTTTTAAAAATATAAAACAGTGGTTGGGTAGAAGTTTAAATGTGGGGGTGTTTAAGGCAAAAATATTTCCCATAAAATACCTGTGCCTTAGATAGGAATTACTCGCAATACTAGGTACTAGAAATGGGTGATTTGGGGATGGAAGCACGGCCCTATGCCCCCCTCCCTCCCCCCAGATCCACTAGTGCACATAATAATACAACAGGATTGCAAAAAAGGATTGCGGATTTGATCACAATCCAAGTGAAAAAAGGGGATTGCGGGTAGGAATGCAATCCACTTCGGCACTAGGAATGTGGATTGGGAATGCAATCCTTTCAAAAAGGATTTTACCGATGCCTGCATATAGGTACATCGGGGGCGCTATCCCCGCGATTTTTCTATTGCCACAATTGCCGCATCCACATTCGAAGGCAGAACAACTTGTTTCCTTTGAACCAATGACGTCATTCAAGTTAGCCAATTACTGCAAACCTTCTTGGTTGGTAGCACTCGCGTTGCAAAATGCTAGCCAATCAAATCAAAATGTTTACTATGACATTGGGCCTGGCAACAATATAAATCTAAATTACTCGCACTATCAACTTATTAAAAACGTACTCAGCCAAACTGGCATACGTTCATGACGTAGTATCGAAGCATTGTGGTATTTTATCGAAAACAATTTTGCGGGGGCAAAAGATATGTTTGCCCCCCCACCCTGGGAGATGGGGGGGCGCCGTGCCCCCGCTGCCCCCCCGCTTCCGCCGCCACTGAATGGTATCGAAATTCGGAAACGACGAAATAACTTCCGCTGAAGGCGACAGTGGAGATTGGAGAAGTTTACTTCTTGTTGGCATATGCATCCCGGCTAATGAAGTCTTGCCGTGGCACTTTTATTGTGACGATCAACGACTGGTTTTCTGGGCGTCCGTCGCATCTCTCACTAGCGAGACGGCGCTACTGGGGTGAGAAGAGGGCAATCTCTGTCGTCTCCGTCCCGGCGCGTCGCATCACGGGATCGCGACAAACTTCCGATAACGTCCCGGTCGTCTCGGCTGGTGCGAGAAATGGAAAATTGCCGGCTATTCAGCTGCGCCGCGGTGACGGCCCGGTCCGAGACGGGTCGGACGGAGGGGTGAAATCAACAGCGGCCGGCGCCAAATCAGCGTCGGAGCCGACGGCCGTCGATCGGGTGATGGATGTCGGTGATTTGGGGGTAGGGGTGGCGGGGAAGGGGAAGAGGGAAGGCGAGCCTCTGGTCAGTCGCAACTCGCATTGATACCCAGTCGCTTACAGATTCTGCGACCGTCCCACTCCCATGGCTGAGTTTGTAGTTATATGCGTAGTTCCATACGCTTCCTGTGGAAAATCACCTGGTACCTTTAGGTATGTCGATTGGTCGAAAAATTCGGCAGCGTAACGGGTTCTAAATCAAAGCTTTTAGAGAAAATAAGCATGAAGTCTATGATGCCTGTAAATACCTATCTCATGGTTTATTTAACGCGTTTGCCACTTCACTCCATCCTTTTTTCTTCACGATCCCGTTCTATATCCCAGCGCACCTGACTGAACACGTGATCCAGTTAGCTGCTGAGTCGGGCGGGTGAGCCTCGGTTCGTCGGGCCCGTCGGGGGCAGAAAGTCTCTCGGAGGGGGAGGGAAGGGGTGCCTGCCGCCGCCACCGTCAGCGTGGCTCCGACAGCTCTGTGTTGTGACGTAGAGCCCATCTCCGGGGCCACCGAGCCGTGCCGGCTAAAATGCTACACCGGCCTCGTAAAATTAAATTAATACCTCCCGTTAGTCGGTGACAAAATCATCACAGTGATTTAATACTTGCCGGCCATGACTTTATTTGCCCGGTAGGCAGGCGGGTGACGTCAAGGTTTTATGTATTGAGCTCGTGAGTCACTTATTGCGACGTGTTTGGTGTGTCCTGCCGTGCTGTCGACCTAATATTTTCCCCAGACATCGTTCCCGGTTCTAAACAGAGCCCCATAACTGTCTCGATGCGTCTTCATATCCATTTTAAAACGTTTTCTTCACCTCATCTCCATCCCGGCAGGCGCTCTGTCGTCCGTGCCGTCCCCGGCCGGGTCCTGGCCTGTCCGTCTTGTCCGCCCCCCCCTGCCGCAGCCCCCCCCCCCCCGGCCCGTCTCCGTCGGCGGCGGCTGGCAGAGGCGGCGGCCGCGCGGCCTAGGTGCGTTCGTTGACCGGTAGGCATGTGGCCATGTGAGGGGCGCCGCGGCGGAATCGAGCGTGCGCCGCCGCCGCCGGTGCGCCGCCGCCGCCGCGGCTGCGGCTCTGACCAGCGCCATGTGTATGTTGCAGGTGCCGTCGGAGGCTGTCCGCCGCCCGCCGCGCTGGACAACGACAAGGTGAGTGTGCGGGGAGACTGGGCTCGGCGGGCTATGGACGGGCGGGGAGGCTGAGCTCGGCGGGTCATGGACGGGCGGGACGCATGCTGGTGCTGGGACGGGGGAGTGGTGAACATGGATTTAGGATATGTGTCTTAAATTGGATGTATTTTGAATACTGGCGGAGATGGGTGAAGAAAATGGAAACTATGGAAGTGAGACAGCTTGACGAGCCGAAGAATGCAAATGACTTTTTACATTTTTTTCTACATTACTCTCATGACAGGGTGCGGGAATAACTTGATTATTTTGGCGGACGGTCTCACACTTGCAAAACACCAGGCCGGGTTCAGCATTTTCTTTTTTTACGACTTGGCTTGCAGCAAGTCTCAAAATAATTCATTGGAACAGAAGGACAATAACTATTTAATAATTTATTTGTAGATCTCAACCTTGTGTGTGAGAAATTTTATTGGTGCTTCAAAACATCATTAAGGGCTAATAATCAACGGCATTTTCGGTGGCTCTTACAATGATTCGACCTCAACAAGCTTGTAAATGTTTCACTATTATTAGACGATGATATCAGAGGCGACGTCTTGCAGATAAGTTTTTACGCACACTGTTCACATGACCTTATCAGTCATGTAACGACAAACCAACATTATGGCTATTATTAGCCAGGATTTCCTGTTATTGCGTTCTTAGTGGCCACGCTGCATCGTCTTTTTGTACACAGAGGTCACGGAGATCGTTACGCTGCCATCGTGGACCCCTCGGGGTCCATCACGCAGCTTCCTCCCCTCCCCTGGGTCACTACGTTACGACAGCGACCCCCTCCCCACCCGGTGTCTCTGTATTGCTTCCGATCGTGTCGGCACGTCCGCGGCCACTGTGCGCCACTGGATAGATAGAGAGAGACCGAGCTATTGTTTATCACACCACTCGATTAATGGCATTGTTTATTATTGCATCAGTCGGCCGGGCCGGACCCAAATGTTTACCGTCGGTCGGCCAACCGGCGGCGGCGGGCCCTCAGAGGGGTCCGCGGACCATGCAGCGGCGGTCTCAGCCGGACCCGCCGCCGCTGGCCAATCGCTGGCCAATCGCTGCTCCGTGCGCGGCTCCATCAGCATCGTCCCGCAGATGGATGGCCGCTGGTCCTCCCTGACGGCACCGGACCCTGCCCGGCGTGCACAAACACTGTGCGTGGCTGGCCGCTGCGCTGGTGCACTGCACCGTGCACACCGCGCTGGCTGCACAGTGCACAGCGTACGTGCGGCTCGCTCCTAATGGCGGCCCGCCGGGGAGTCTCAGAGGCCAGTGGGAGGCCAGCCGGGCTGCCCGCGGCCAGCTGCCGTTCCTGGAATTCCCAAATGTGTTTGCATGGTGAGATCATGACTCTGATACACGCATAGCAAAGCATCGCGGAACGTTTAGTTGCAAACTGCATGTCAGGACTTTTTTCCAGTCAACATGTCCGCTCAATTCAATTTTGGGCTTGAACAAGTAATCTAAGCACAATTTGCAGTACGTGACGCAGACCTGACCGGTCGTGTGGCTCCATTGAATCACTGCTCGTTGATGGCTCCGTCGCAGGGACACGCGTCCCGCCCCGGGTCCCGTTGAATCTGGTATCTCCGGTGACGGAGAGGCCCCGGCCTCTAAATCCACGTGGAGCCGGGCCTGGGACCGGTCCTGCTAATTTGTGCGGTACACATACACACCAAGGTCACCGGCAGACGTCATGGGCCTGTTTTCGTCGCCAGCGATGTTTTTCGGGCCGCGAATACGCTAAAACAATGCTGCGACGCCCGGCGAGTTGCGGTATTGTCGGCTATTGGCCTTCGTTAGCGGACATGCGTACGTCCGGCACAAGGAAAAATGAAAACCAAGGCCACCTAGCGGCCGGTCGAACTGACATTCTGCGAGCTTATCGCTGGAAATTCCGAGCTATTTGTTGTGCTGGACCTGGTTCGTGGCGTGCGTTATGTAATATCGACTCGCAACTACATCGTGTCAGATTCGGGAAGGTGTGGCTACAATCATTTATCCATCATTATTTTTGAAAACATGAAGTGGAAATGCTATGGTATGTCTGCTGTGCCGAACGTGCGTGTTACTCGACAGTGAACACGCACGTGCACTGCGTTTTCTTAGCCCAATCAATGTACTTTTCAAACCTTATTCCCACGCGGGCACTTCGAAGCTCTTGTCAGCCTGCGTTCAGGTTTACGCTCATTTTTACATCAGACAAATCTTGATATTCCAAGACTGTAAATGAAATGCTTAATGTGCCCAATCTTGCGCCTGACTCTGTTCATCCTTCCCCTAAGTTATTTTATCGGATTGGCCTCACTTCCAGGTCCACCCTTCCTCCAAGTCTTCCAGACAGCGCTTGCCATGGGGTAGGTAGGCTGTGCCGCAGCACACGCTTCCAGCGACCACAGCTTCGCACAGGAAGGTAACTGGCCGCGCGATGGCTGCAGGGTTGTGGCGACCGGCGGGTTCGGCTGGGCGCGGAACAAGTGATGGTCTCTGCCGGCGGCGGACATCCGGCGACACGGCACAGTCTAACTCTACAGACCAGGGAACTTAGATGGACAGAGAAACATGGAGCACTACCTACGCATTTCCATCCACAAATCAAAATAAAACGGCAATGTGCTTATGTAAATCAGAATCCGGAATGTGAGATGAAACGTCTCCCTGAGTGCAAGCGACACATTTCAGGAGACCTTTGACCTTTACGCACGGTCCTATCGCCATCTGAAACGCACTTCCTGGTGCCGCCCGCATCAAAGCCTGGCGGGGCTCCGGTGCCGGCCGGGCCGCCCACTCGGCTCCGCTGCAGCCGGCGGCTCACCTGTGCGGGCTTCCTCCGCCGCTCTGCCCGGGTAGAGCGGCGGAGCACCTACGCAGTGGCTCATGGCGACCCCCCTCCCGACCCCATCGGTCGGCCGGGTCAGGCGCTATCGACTTTTTCTCCGGTAACGGGAGCCAGTCCATGCTGAAGCACCATGCGAAGTTTGTACGCACGGGAAAGTGTGGCCAGATGAACCAGAGTTCATGAGGCCAGTGAAGGTCAGGACATAGGTCAGCGCCAAAGTTGCGCTTTGATGTCGCTGGAGGAAGGGGGAGGCGTATTAAGAGTGAACGTGGAAGGAAGCTCAGCTAGCACCAAAGGTATCATTATTTAAAATATTACATTTCGATAGTGCTTCACGTCTGTGACTTTGGTTAAATTACATATGACGCGTAGCAGCTCCCCTTATCATTATTTTATTAAATGTGTATTTCGGATCAATGCGTCTTGGAGCCTAAGTTGACTCGCGGATTAGCACCGGTCCAGCTATGCAACCGGTCCGCTGCCGGGGCCCGTCAGACGGCGCACGAACTGGTTATGTTTGTTTCTGTCGGCTCTGTCGCTGTAAGCCCCGGTATTTAGGACATATTTGCGCCGGCATCAAGGCGAGACCTTCATTTTACAACGGTCCATGGGACATGCGACGGGGTTTATTGCAATTCTTGAGTCATTTTTGTCTTTCTGTTAAGCAGATTATCAGGTGCTTGGCAGAATGATAAACATGGTGATTTGGGAACACATGTCTCATTAACCGAGTCCAAGATGCTTATAAATAGCTTTGTTTAAATCTGACAGCATCCAACACCTTTGTTTTGTATTTTCACATAAAAATGTTATGTCTTCGTCCCAAGGCGGCCTTTTCATCCTGTCGACGGCTAGTTGTTTTCAAGTTTGCCATTATTCTGATGCGCAGTCGGGCTACTTCCTGTTTTTGTTAGCAGTCAATAGAGGAGATATCCAGAGCACACACACTGAGATTGGACTCCGGAAGCAGACGCCAATCGATCGGTGCGTTGTGAGGCGCCCGCGCGATGGTAGGAACTAGGAACGGGCGGGCCAGAGGGAGCCGAGCCGTGTGTTGTTGGGATTTGGGGTGGGCGCTTCAGCGAATATGGGTCTGAGGGACAGGCCGGGGTCTAGGTGAGCTGTGAGGTGAGTGATACGGTCTCCACTGAGGGGTGTTTTGGCTGATACCAAACAGCTGTTCGTTGGGCTGCGCAAGTCGCGTCGCAATCACATTTTTTCCCGTAATTTTACCAATTGTAGGTAGTCGCACATTGATACTCAAATAAAATGAACATTTGTGAGCTGTGACAGTGATGAATTCGGTTCGTCTTCACCACCCCTCCCCTGAGGGACCCTCTCAGCCCTCACCCTCAGCGGGGTCACTTTTCTGCACTCTGTCTCCCCAGAGAGCCTCTCTGGCCGTCGGACTATCGCCCGATAAACACCAACTGACCGGACGACTTTCCCAGAAAGGTGCCCACTCAGCAGTTCCCCCGGGCCGCTATTGGCCGCTTTACGACGGCTGCTGTCGCCGCTGGCTGCCACATTGCGCTGTGTTGGCTCGGCTGAGGGGGGGGGGGGGGGCTGTGAGGGGTGGATAGGGAGTCTGGACGCGGCACTGCGGAGGGAGATCGAGCGGAGAGGACAGTGAGAGAAATTCATACAGAAGGATGACTGGTGGCCGAACTAAGTCGTTCATGCCTCGTAAATTAGGGACATAAATTTCGGCCGGTGGAGGCAGAGATGCCCTGTAAAGTTCTGAACATCCTCAGCTTGGGCATCGGGTCTGACGCGGACAAATTAGAATATCTGCATTATATTAGTTTGTGTGTTTATTTATTTTGTTTTTAGTTTGTTGTAGGTATTGGTAGATTTGAGGCCAAAATCACGGCTGGATTGGCCAATCAATCATCTTCCATGGAGAATGGCAATGCTAGAGCCTCTCCACATAGCTGCCTATACCGCCCCAGTCGTTGTGAGCCGCGTCCTCCCACCAGCCGCCACCCGCTGTGTGTGTGTCTGTGTGCGTGCCCGGCGGGCCTGTGTGCGTGTGCGGCCAGTATGGCGTCCCCACCGGCCGGGTCCAGTCCGCTGCCCTCTGATTGGTCCGTCACAAGCAGCCGGGGCCTCTCCCACGCCGCCTGCCATG